ACAAGACAAGACAAAACAAGACGCCCAAACACCAAAACCAAGGACAGGACCATTGCCAAGATCTCAGTGCAAGGAGAGAGGATTGTGGGTTCAGCCTGTGGAAATGGGGGTTCACCTGAAAGGCAAGGCTCTTCCAGGAATTTATTTACAGGATCTAGACATCCATGAAGGACACATAATCCGTTCAGTCTGTCTTGGGTCAGGGCGAGGACACACGGCCGCGTTTTGGATGCTGTGAACGCACATAGCAAGAAAGAACATTTCTTTTTTTCTTCCACTTGATTTAGGACATAGATGCAGTTCAATGAATGTATAACAACAGTGGTGGAAATGAGATCAAGCCATGAATCTGTCCTGTTCTATCGAGACAGGCCTGGCGAATGTCAAAGGCAAGGACGGAGTTTCCTTCTTGGACGCCTACTTGGGTGTGAGAGGGGAGATACTCTGTAACTTCAAACAAATTTATGTTTGTTTGCACATAATAAAATAGCCAATTTTCTGTGTGTTCTCCCTGAAGGCACAATTCCCATAGACAGCGGTGGATTCTCTGCACTGTGAGTCCTCTTCTGAGTCAATACAAATGCAGCAAGAAACCCTGTGTGTGCTGGCAGGAGGTTGAGCTTGCTAGGCCTTTCCTTCCTTCCGCCTTACGGGCCATGCTGATCCGCAAACCCACGGTGCTCACTTTGTGGCCTGGGTCTGAGCAGGCTTGGCCAGCCACTCTCCTGGCACCTGAGAGCTGCTTAGGACCCTGCATCCCTGCTTCTAGGGTGGGCCGCTTGCCTGGCGTTAAACGCTGTCTCAGTCTGAACACAGGGCTGAGGCTGCCTTCTTCTCCTTCTAGTTCGGGGCCCTCTTGAGTCTAAGGGGAGCATGAATGTGGTAGGGCAGGCAGAGAAGAGGCAAGCTCTGCGACATCAGCATTTACATCGGAATGAAAAGCACCCAGCCTTCTGCACCAAGTAGCACCCTCTGTGGGCATGGAGAGGCGGGTCTACCTGCCACAGGCCAATGAGTTCCGAGGGATGGGCCTCTCTGAGGTTTCACGCCAGTGGTGCCCATCTATCTATCGCCCACAGGAACTGAGAAGCAGTGGGACATCTGGCCCAGTACAGGGAGCTGAGTCAAGGCCAAGAGTCTAGAGCTCACATCCCTGCTCCCACTCACGTCCTTCATGTGTTCTGTTCTCTGGCCTCCACCGCACGCAGATCGATCAGCACATTCTTTAGCCCCAGTCAGGCTGGGCCTTGCCTTGTATACTGCCGGAGTCAGAGTGACACGAGGAGGAAAGGAGAGGGAAGAACAGAGGGGAAAGGAAGGAAGCTGAGCATGCACTGCCTAGGGCAGGTGGAGAGGACAGCAGTGCTAGTGGGTTAAAAAGGAATCAGAGCTCTCAGAGGGGAGGGGGAGAGGGAGGGTCATGACCAACTCCCTCTCTGCTCCGCCTTCCCGCAGAGCCCCAAAGGCCCTTAGCAGCTCCAAGACCCTTTGCCACAACCATGCACTGGTTTGAAACTGAAATCTGAAAATCTCCTGCCACGGACTGTCAGAACTTATTTTCTGGGTGGCTTATCTGTGGAGGGTGGAGGGGAAAAGCTGCTCTAGGATATCTGCAAAGACACTTGACTCAGTCACAAGTCCTCAAAATCAGAAAGGAAACATCCGGAAGCTGAGGGCAGGGGACTCACAGCAGCTGAGGGCTTTGCTGACTCCGCTGGGGAGAAAACGCCAGCACTGCCCTCTGGGAACAGACTGCCCGCCCCCCTCAAGTTTCAGGGCATGAAAAGAATGTCCTGGAAGACACTGGGACTTTAAAAATGAACATCATTATGCAGATGGGGCTATCTTTGCTGCTGATTCCTTTCCCGGGATATTACCTTAGGGCGGTTTCCTGCCGAGACATTTAAAGAAACAGCACACGCGTGGCTCCATTTTTCCAGTACTAGGTAGGAGTCCCTTCAACAAAGTCCAGACATTGAGGGCTTCCTCCTCCTCTTAGAGGTATTTCCAATTTCCAAGGACCCCCTGCACTATCCACTGTAGGCAATGACTTCTTTTAAATTTGGAAAAAAACAACACTTTGTGTTTATAGGAGGGGGTTCCAACATGGAGTGGGGTCAGTATGAGGCTCCCCAAACAGCTTCCTGAGGTGAAGCACAGTGCCTCAACCACGCACAGGGGAGGTGCTCAATAAATATTTATCGAATAATCACACGAGATGACACGAGACCAGCGAATGCTCTGCCCAGCCCTCCCTCCTGCCCCAGCCCTGCTAGCCTAACACACGGGCCTAAGCAGACCTGTGAACTCAAAATCCTGGGATTACTAAGCTACATCTAGACATTGTCTGAGAAAGACCAAAGGTGAGACACTGTCAATACTTAGAGCAAAAGGGCATTTCGTGGAGAGCTGTCATTCCACACCTGACACAGTGAAGGGACACACGAAATACCTAGGAGATCCTGACAATTTTCTTTTGTCTGCATTACACAGATTGCGAGAGAAGCTTTACTCAAAACATACTTTGCTTGGCAGAAACAAACAGTTCATTTTAGAGTGTCCCATTGTGTAGATTGCTTTTTGCTGTCGCAACGTGACTGGGGTTTCTGTGGGTTTGGTAGCTGGACTAAGTTCAACATGATATAGAGGTTAAAAGAAAACCAATTATATAGCCGATAAGCACCTAAACAACCAACCAGCTATCTTTCGGTATATCAGGTAAAGGCCAAATTCAGACGTCCCTGCTTTCAGAGCCTTTAGTGCACAAACAGGTGAGGTGTTTTAGTGAAGAACTAAGTAAAGGCCATTTTGATATTGAATAGAAAAAACCTAGACTACCATATTCGATTTTGGCTGAGCGAATCAGAAGGCATGCCCATGAGATGCTTTGGAAAGGATCCCAGGGTTCAGAAAGTCTCAGGGGTGCCCTAATCCTTCACTGGAACCTTCTCTATGATACCTTGGACTCTCCCTTCTGTCACTACGATTCTTTTCTCATCTCTCCCTTGTTATCTCAGAAGAGCAGCGCAGTAGTTTTTGGCATAAACCTGAATTCTGATTTGGTGAGATCTGTAAATGAAGGTACATTTGCCAGCTTAGGTGAAATCACTTAATAACTCTGTTTCTGAAGGCCTAGATCTACTTAAGACCAAGTTTCAAGAATAAAGTGAGAAGTGGGAAGAGGTAACTATAGGATACAGCCTCTGCGATAGCAGTGTGATTGGAGAGTCATCTGCCTGACAGGGTGGGTCCTTTCCTGGGCAAAGGTAAGTGTTGCACCAGCATTAAATCAAGATAATGCTCCAGATCCTACGAGGCTGGAAGCACAAACAACATGAGACCTCTGTTCTCTGGCCCATCCACGGGGGCTCCCCAAACAACTTCTCGAGCTCTTGTATACATGCCTATTTCCCGATGTTTTAGTTTCAAAACTGAACCTACTTGGTGTGTATAAAGATGAGTTTAGCATCGAAAGGTAGGTAATCCCCCTTTTCATGAAGATTCTCTAGAATCCTGAAATGGTCCCAATTGCCAACTAGTCCCAATCCTTTACTCTATAGACAAGGAAACTGAGGACTAGGGTTGTTCGATGACTGCCATTCTCCCCATCAAGATCTGGGTCTCACTGTTGGTTAGTGGTGGAGCTTGGGCAAGGACCCATCTATCTTCTCTCCCAGGGCTGGCACTCTGGGCCTGAGAAGCCCCTTGGCTGCTGGGTTTGGCTTCCAAGGCACAGGCCTGCGTGGGAGCTGGGGCTGTAACATGGTACAGGATTTACAGTTTGGAGCAGCTGGGGTTTTTTTTTTCCTACTGCGAGGACCCAGCAATAACAATAGGATTCAGGCACATTCTGGATTGATTCTAAACAGCTATGAGGAAATTTTAGGTAGAAAAGAAGTTAGAAAAAGAGGAGCAAGTGGGGCTGTTTCCCGGGCCTTTGCTTTCGCACACACTCTCATTTTCCTTCTATTGTAGCTGAAATGAGATGCTGGGTGTGTGTCCATGTGCCGGCAGTCTCTACATTGATAGAGCGGAGAGTTTCTCTTCAATCACATGGCTCCATCTTAAGCTAGCTAACCCCAGAACAAGCCAGACAGGCCACACCGCATACCTTGGGAAGAACCTGAGCTCTCATAGAAAATCCAGGGGGTGGGAACAACGGGAGGCAGAGAAAACTGCACAAAAGGTGGAAAAGGTGGTGACCAAGAAGGTTTGTGACCACTGACTGTCCAGGAGATTAGAATAGGTCCCTCTTGGGCCACCTGGGAGGCTTGGATTAGGTGACAAGAAGGCCAAGAAAGGCCCTTAGGAAGGGGATGTTTGATGGCCGGTCTCATGGCCGGTGGGGTTCTGCTGGTTTACCTTATTCTGACCCAACCCAGCGTTCCAATAAAATTCCCTGGAAACTGAGCTCCGCAGCTCGGGAGATGGCTTACGCATTCAGAGCTACAGGGGACATGGGAGACCTTTCTAAAAGGAAAGGCGGTCCAGCAAGCAAAGTTAGGGGTCACAGAAGACAAGAGTACGACATCCATGCACATCTCTGCTTTTCGTTTGAATGAGTCAATGGAGACACACATCTTACGTTTGCTGTTATTACTGCACAGGCTACATTCAACTAAAAAAACAAAACTCCTGCTCAGGTCTCCAAATATGTCTTTTCTAAGAAGAGGAATCAAGGGGTAGAGAGGTGGAGAAACAAGTCCATACGGAAGAATAACACACAGGGTCCCTTCTTGGTTTGTGACTGCTGTCTTTGTTCTCCCGCAATATTACAACAGGCAGAAGGGAGGGTATGTCCTGTTTCTTTCCCGGCTTTGTTGCTATCGGCCTAATAGATCTCATCTAGTCTTTATTGATTTTCCTTCTGCCTGCCACCTTAGCAGTTTTTGGTTTGAGTTTTCCTGATGTTCTGGCCCTAAGCTCTGTCCCCAGGGAACCACCCTCTTCCTGCCAGCCCCAACCCCAGGCTGCCCCCCCCCCTCCCCCCCCAGACCAGAATTACTTCAAGGGGGAGTCGATTAATGGCTTATGTTAATGAAAGAAGCTTTTCAGGGAGTCTGAACTCCACAGTCTGGAGCTCTACCAGGATCATTAGGGAGGGAGAGGGAGGCAGAGGGGCCTCTGGGGTTAAGACAGCTTTGAATGTAATGACTATCGGAAACAAAGGCTCTCCTTAGTGAGGCCCCAGGGCTGAGGCCTGCTGGAAATGCCTATAATAAGTAAGAGGTACCCCTCTCACAAGAAAGAGAGAGTTAAAAAAAGGAATATTGTTTTAATATGGGATTTATTCCTGGCTTCTGGTCATTGCTGCACATCTACAAGAAAGCTTCAGATTTCAAAGATGAGCAAAAAGCATGAGCTTGGAGGAGGGGCGGGCCTGAGGGGTGAGAAGGTCATGTAGCTGACAGCCCCTAGGAATGTCCTGCTGACCTCTCTCTTCCAGGCCCAGGCAGATTGCACAGATGAAATGAGCAGCCAAACACCACCCGGAGAGGCTGCTGTGCCTGCCAGAGGGCCCCTTGGGCATGGCAGGCTGTGATCCCACACAGAACACCCTGACGGGTGCCCCAGCCCAGAGGAAGACAGAAGACGGGACCTGCTTCAGGGATGCCAGCTATGAAGTCCAATGTCACTGGGGCCACTGTCCCTCAAGGTATTACTTTGCATTTCCAAATGGTTTTAGGTGTGAATGTCTCCCCGATTTAAAATTTACAACAATGCAGATGCCTGACAATCTCCAGACTAGAGACAGTTTAGATGAACGGCAGAATCAGGTAGGCAGACCCAATTTTTAGAAAGAGGCTTTCTTTTCCTGAATCTGTTTTCGGGCAAGATCACTGGTATCTGGGGCTGGGGCAGGGGGAGGAGGGATGAATGGAGGCCAAAGATCTCTCCCTCATTTTCTAACATTCTGAACCACATGCCACAATCACAGACACTATTTCCTCACATTTTCAGCAATTCATTGGGCTTTCTGGCAGAAATCTTGCTTTTGCAGCTCACTCAGACTGTTGCTGCTAACTGCAGAGCCTTTATTTTTCTTGTCAGTAGAGCCACCTTAATTGTCCCTCCTGAAAGGGCTCCACCCAGCCCTGTTTGGTACCACATGGTTTTCTTTGAAAGGCTCTGCTGTTATAGCTAGAATTGCTGGGTGTCCTTTTCTAAGTAAACAGGAAATGTCACTCTGTTTGAAAAAAAAAAAAAGAGAGAGAGAGAGAAAGAATCCCTCTCCTCAGCACAAATGCAATAATACGCCAACTTATACTTCCTGTGAACATTGAACTAGGAGCAGGATCTATGCCTTATAGCTGCGCAGTCCTCTTCTTAGCTCCCAGGCCTCCAGCGAGCAGAACCTCAGGGAGGCCCGGCTGACCAGGACATTTAAGAAAATGCTTCCACTAGATTTGGGGGAGGCAGTAGCATCACAGTTAGGAAAGATGACAATGCATGGAAAACAAAACCTAACCCAGACCCTCTGCAAAATCACATTTAAGGGGCAAGATGGTATGCATCTAAGTTTCAGTCACAGCAGGAGTTAGTGTTCTGACATCTGACCACCTTTTATATCTGAAAAATCATGAAGTGTTGAGTCGGTCAGGAGAGTTGACACAGGGCAGGAGAAAGAAACACCGGGCAGATGGCTTGTTTCCCGTTACATCAGGACCTGGGTTTGTGTGTCGGGCAGGCGAAACCCCACCAGTCCTCCACACACGAGCACGGTGGAGGCCAGCAGGATGGGGATTGCTTTGGTGATGCTGACCAGGGAGCCGAATATTAAGTTCCCAAGGACCGCGGCAGCTTTGCAGAGTGCGTTCAAGAAGCCAAAGCCTGTTGCCCTGCGAAGGAAGGAGACATGGACAAGGTTGAGAAAGTGACTTCCAAGATTCCGACTTTAGACACAAAGGTTCCATAAGGTACTTTCTAATGACCTCCATGTTTGGGGTATCATTAGAGAAAATAACTAAACGCTTGTCAGCACATCTGGAGATGGAGAACCCCAGCTGTTGGTACTGTTCCTTCGGCCCTCTGTTGACATTCTCGCCACTGATTCTTATTCTGCCCAACAGTTCCCATTTATGAAGAAAAAATTTCAGGGAGTAAGAAAAGTTTCTACTCTCTTCCAGATTTAAATGAAAATGTATGACAGTGTATTTCTTAGATTTTTTTCTCCCTATTTTTTTTCCTGGCTTAATTAATGTGTGAGGTTTTAAATAACTGAAGCCTATTTTCAGAGAAAACTAGGAATGACTGGATTGCATGCCCCATCTTTCCGGTACCCTGGAGGGGGACTCTCATGCTGTCTTCCCAACTGTTTTTGGTGGCCGGCGGAAGCTGAACACGGAGGGGGCGGTCCATCCGTGAGCTAGTGACACATTTCCCAATCTTCGTCCGACTTCCGGTGGGAAATCAAGCCCGAGAAGAATTACAGAGGAGAATCAGACGGTGGGCCTGGAGATCTTGCTCACTCTGCTGGCATTTAAGAGGCACAGGTGGTATGTCACTCAGACACATCCCATTCCTTAAGGCTGTCTTTGGAAAAGAAAACCTGTGCTTCTTTACGTGTGTTGAGTGTGGTTTTACTGTAGTCTTCTGGGAGGAGGCTTAATTTTGTTCATGAGAGCACCGACACCACTTACATCATGAGATAATATGAAGTTCCCCGGCTTTATGCCAGTTCAGCTTGGTGTCTGTCACTGGGTACACACGTGTTAAGGGCACATTAAATGCAGGGTAATTGTTAGGTACATTTTTTCCCCACCCGAGGGAAATGCATTTTATATGCTGCAAAATGCAGCATTTAGTACACAGCTTTCTTTGATTGACGTGTAAATTTGTAAGAGTGGGTTTTCCTCTGGCCAGTCATAACAAGTCCTCATCACTACTTGTGCTTTTCCTCGAGATATTTTCTTCGATGTGTGGATATTGATTGGGGTTATCCAACCATCCCCCTTCCCACACCACAGTGAGTGCAGGGCCAGTGACTTCGCTATTAGGACAGGCAGACCTAGGCTAGGGCAGCAGCACCAGAAAGTAGAGTAAGGAAGGGATGTAACGGAATCTCCAATTGAGAGAACAGGAACTTCTTGAGAAGAGGTAAGCTGACTTGGTATTCTTTTTCTTTTTGGCTTGTTTTTAAACAAAGAGACTAGTAATCACCACCACCAGAAAGATAAGAAGATTCAATATACTGATAACTTTTTTTCAAATGAAATTGCTGGAGGCTGTATGTTGGCTACCAGCGTAGAATAACATCACTCACCTCACCGCCTTCTCCATGTCCAGGGAGATGATGCCATGAGGCTGAAGTTTTAAGAAATAAATAGACTTTTTTTAGTCCCATTAACTGGGACCTTTGACTCCCATCAGGGAAATTGTATGTATGTATTCAGTAAATTACTCAATAGTGCTGTGCCAGGCACTATTCTAAATTAATAATAATAATAATAATAATAACAACCCTTTTTTGAGCAGTTTTAGTTTTATAAAAAACTGAGTGAAAAGTAAAGAGAGTACCTATGCACCCCCTTTCCCCCCACCCCAGTTTTCCCTATTAATATGGTACACTTGTTATAACTGATGAGCCATACATTAGAGTTCACTCTCGATGTTGTGTATCCTATGGGCTTTGATAAATGTATAATGGCATGTACCCATTACTGCATCATACAGAATAATAGTCTCACTGCTGTAAAAATCCTCTGTGCTTCCCCCATTCATCCCTCCATCCCCCGAGCCCCTGGCAACTGCTCATCTTTTTACCGTCTCCATAGTTTTGCCTTTTCCAAAATGTCATATAATTGGAATCATACAGTATGTGGCCTTTTCAACTGACTTCTTTCACTTTTTTAAACTATATTTTCATTTCATAAATGACCAAGTACATTTTGCGGTAGTAAGATAAGCTGTATTGTTCTGGAAAAAATTGGGTAGTAAGTATAGTAAGTATGTTGCTGATAAGAAAGAAAAACATTCTTCTGCATGAAGAAGTCTGTCAACACTGAGCCTGCCGAACGACCCACGTGGACTATACATCTGTGTTAAAGTAACTGTATTTTCCCCAAGCTATAAACCTCTGGTGTAACTCAGAACAGGTGTGAAATACAGGCGGCTACTTCCTTGTATCACTGAAGCTGTGACGGAGGGAAGGATGGCTTCTGAGATTTCCGTGCAGGACTAAGAGAAACGCATCAGGAGCATCTGGTATCTGAAGCGTCTAAAACACGATGGTCAAAAATCCTTACTTCCCAAGAAACTCCTTTTCCATTTACCAAGCAGAGGCGGTTCTTCAGATTGGGTGCAAAGCATATCGCCTCCTTAAATCAATGGTGGCATTCAAGAAAACGTGACTGTCCTTTCCTTGAATAAGTAAATTATTTCTTCAAATACCGGAGGGGGTGATTTTCTGTGCATTGGAGGCACAGCTGTCTCAGAAAAATCATTCTCAAAGTGGCCCTCCCTTGGGGGTTATCTGTTTGTAAAGCAAAGAAGCTTCTCATTTATTCATTCCCTTGTTCTTACTTCAAGGAAGGGCATTAACTTCTGCAGACACTCAAAACACAAGTCACCTTGTGCTCCTAAAGGCCTTTGAGGGTGGGGAGCTCAGAACTTGCAGGGCCCCCTGCTTGCTAACTTAGCAGCCAGGCAAGCTACCGCATTCTTGATCAGCCCCCAAATGCCCCATGCCTCCTCTTGACCAACAAGCACCGAAGGGAAAGAATGAAATGATCTATTACCTTTCTATAAGCTCTATCCCTTGTTCCCCCATCTCTTCAGCCAGATCCTTTGTTTTCAGTTATTGCTCAACCTATTTATTTAAATCTTTTAAATGATGGCAGCAGTCCTGTTTGTTCCTGGTTCCATTAAGGAGGCCCTTCTCCCTGCACCATTAAGTCTCTCTGAGAATCCGGTGCTGGTGCAGGCAGCTGATGTGGGATGTGGCCACCAGAGCTTCTCTCCCTGAAGCTGGAGTGTGTCTCCTTCTTTAGGGCCTTTCCAATTTAGCAAGTTCTAGCTCATTTATATAATTTTATGTACTAATTGGTGACCAAGAAAAGGAAACTCCATTTTGAATAAAATGAGGTAGTTTTGCCCTCCCATCCAGCCTCTTTTTTTGCTTTTCTGACTCCAGGGCAGGGTCAGCTGGGGTCTTGTGAGGCTCCTGGGGAGCAGACAGGGATGCTGACGAGGCAGCACTCAGGCAGTGAGTGTCAGTCATGTTTTAAACATTGGCTGACACATCTGCCCCATCGACTGACGGCATTGTTAGGGGAGAAAATAAAATGCTACCTTCTGTAAAGGACTGAAATGGTGGAGATCCAGACTGAGCTCATGGAACTTTCCTGTTAAAGGGTAAAGTGTGAGCATTCCCTTTTTCTAGTCTAAACTTTTGGAAAGGAACTTTCCCTGGACAACTCAGTCCAATCATTGGTGGAAGTGCCTCAGCATGGGGCATTTTGGAAAGTACAGGCAGTCCTTAAATCAGGAATACATCATGATCTAAAGCCTCATCTGGAAGTTGGCTATTTGAAACACAGAATAAATTTCATTTCTCTTACAGAAAGAATATTACAAATGATGACTAGGTCTTGGATCAACCTGAAAACGTTATTTATGTGTGTGTTTTTGTTAATCCTCACCCAAGGAAATTTTTCCAATTGATTTTCAGAGAATGGAAGTGAGGGAGGGAGGGGGAGAAGGGGAGAGAGAGAGAGAGAGAGAGAGAGAGAGAAAGAGAGAGAGAGAGGGAGAGAAAGAGAGAGAGATGAGATAGATATATCGATTAGTTGGCTTTTGCACACCCCCAGGTTTGTGCCCTTGACTGGGAATCGAACCCACCACCCTTTGGGTCTCAGGCCTATGCTCTAACCACTTAGCGACACTGGCCAGGGCTAAAAAAATTAAAATAACACTAAATAACATTCAAAGTTATTTTAATACTGAACCCATCTAAGCTATCAAACTACAATGCTAAGAACACTAGCACCTCTTAAATATTTGTCTAATAAGCAAATTTGTCCTTCTTGAACTCCTAATTTACATATTCTTCTATGTATTTCTCATTCAACAATCACTCATTAGCATCTTTTACGTTTCAGTAAGGCACTAGGCACCAGGGACACCAAGATGAAGTGTCCATTGGTACTAGACAGATGTGAAGAGATCATGATAACACAACCTACTAAGTGCAGTGATAAATATACCCACGGAGTATGATGGGGGCCCAGAGAGGATGGATGAGAAGAGAATTGGACTGAAGGAAGAGGAGGAGCTTACCAAGTGAAGGATGAAATGTGGGCAGAGGTGTTCTTTGCCTCAAAATATCCTCATATCTTCCTGACTTATCTGTGTGGCACCCCACTCAGGTCTGCCTTAGTAGACATCCCCCCCCAATGGCTTCTCAAGTGCCAGATGGCCTGCCTCCCTCCAGTCCCCAGACAAGTCTCCACTTCCTCATGCAGCTGTTCTCAACTTGGGTACCCAGGGCTGAGAGCCCTGCAGTCTCCCAGAGACATCTGCGTTTCTGAATTGACTTGGATTTACTGGTACATACCACAGGAAGTTACCAAAGCAACACATCCGCTCCACCCCTCCGACAAGTGGTTTTCATTTCTGAATTCCCTTTAGTGTGCTTCCAATCAGCCATATTTTTATAAATCACAGAATTTATAGAATTTTGCATTCTGCCTTTTCCAATCAGTAATATAACCATTCGTCCCCTGTCACTTATGTTTTGTTTAAAGTGAAGTGATTTTGCATATAACCATTATTTCTGTAACCACACTGTTAGATAATTAGGAGCTTTCCAAACTTGGGGGGACAAAAATGATGCCGCAGTGAGCACCTTCACATATAACCCTTGGTCGGGGCGTGTTTGTTAGGGAGGGTCAGGCGGTGTTGCACAGCCAGGAAAATGTTTATGATGTGGTGCTGTGGCCGCAGGAGAGGAATCCAGTACAAAGGCCTTACCAGCCTCTTTCTTCTCCCTCCCTCTCTGCTCCCGCTCTTTAACCTCTCCTGTGTGTGTGTGTGTGTGTGTGTGTGTGTGTGTCCTGCTGTATCAGCTCATTTGCATCAGAGGCAGTGTCTCACCCATCCTGAACCTTTCCTTCTCTTTCAACCCTTATTCAGTAGCTGTAGGTTGGACTGGGGCAGCCCCGGAGACCTTCCCTGGTGGGCCAGGCCCCATTCCTGCTCCCCTTAGAGCTGGCTTGTGTCGAGGGCAGGGCACCCTGACTGGAGTTTGCCTCAGCTAGATCCCGGCCTCGTCTTTGGAATGGGGCCATGCAGTCTTTACGGTCACTCAGCACAACTCCTTTGGGACTGGCACAGGGATGCACATGACACTTGTGAAGGGAACTAAGGAATTTCCCGATATCTTTAAAATAGTTTGGAGTAGCCCGGCTGACATTGCTCAGTGGTTGAGCGTTGACCTATGAACTAGGAGGTTGCGGTTCGATTCCTGGTTGGGGCACATACCCGAGTTGTGGGCTCTATCGATGATTCCCTCTCATCTTTGATGTTTCTGTCTCTCTTTCCCTCTCCCTTCCTCTCTGAAATCAATAAAAATATATTTAAAAAAATAGGTTGGAAGTAGATTTCTGTAATGGACATTTTAATGGGCACTAGTTGGGCCATATTTGTTTATTGTTGCCAGACTATCATCTTGCTTTTTCAGAGGAAAGAAAATCTAACTTTTTATTCTTAAGTCAGAAAAGACTGAATTGTTTTCTGATCCTCAGAGAAAGGGGACATTTGTCTCATCCAAGTATGCAGTAGCCGAATGGTATGTGTGCAGCCTGTGTGTGCCCTCCTTGCCCGGGGAGGATGGCATCCGTCACCACTACAAGCAGGGCCCTCCTCACTCACACGTAAGTGGAGAAGGCCTTACCTATCTGCTGGGAGGAACCTCTGGGCCCAAAGCAGCCCTCCATTCCCCTCCCACCCCCACTGCCATCACAGGTCTTCCCAGTGTTCATTCCTGTTGAAATGCAAATACTCATGGACAGGAGATAATGAAAGCCTTTGTGTCTTATCATTTATCTGGTAAACCTAGCTTGGAAGTGAGGGCCTGGGCCAAGGTAAGTAATGATGGAATGAAAGTGACCATTGGGAGGCAAATTGCAGTTCATTTAAGGCCAAGGTTCATGAACATGGCTGTCTATCCCAACTGCCAGGTGAGCTTCCTAGGAACATATTCCTAGACCTTCACCCCGGACCTACTGGGAGGGGATAGATTTGTCTGTATGGAAAGCGGCACCACAGAGTCACCCATCTGAGTTTGAGGCTACGTGATCCAGGCCAAGTTATGAGCCCTGTCTAGTAACCTGAAAATGGAATAAAACTACCTACACTTGTAGGGTTGGAAGAAGGATATATAAGGTTAAATGAGGCCATTTAAAGACTCAGTAGAGTGCCTGACTCACCCTCCATTTCTCGGATGGGAAGGCCAAGTCCCAGAAAAGTGACAGGACTAACCTAAAGTTACCCAGCTCTTTCCTGGCAGCACCTTCCCCCGAATTCTGGTCTCCTCCACGCTGCTGATGGAGAAGGTGGGGAAGAGGAGGAAGAGATTCTCCAACAGTCTGTGCTGTATGGGGAAGGGGAGCTGAGAGCTGAAAGACCCGGAAGTCTATGGATGGCAAAAGTGAAAGAGGATACAGAATGGCAACAGATCGGTAAACTAAGTCAGACAGAGAAAGACAAATACTGCATGATCACATTTATGTGTGGAATTGAAACAAAACAAAACAAAACAAAAAAACACACCGAGCTCACACACAAACAGATTGGTGGTTGCCAGAGGTTGGGGGGTGGGGAGTGGGCAGGACTCTGCAGAGAGGAAAAGGTGCCTTGTCATGGGCACTGCCCTGTCCTCACGGTGTTTTCACAGGAAATGCAAGTGTGACCCCTAGTAAAAGTCAGAGGTATAACATTAAAGGTAAAATCTGTAATGTGGTTGACAAATGTGGCTTTCAAGTGCTACAACTTCTGTAGTGGTTAGACTATACCTTAAACTATGTTTCCCAAATGTAATTCTTCTGACTGGGTTCTTGATAGAAGTTGGCTGTTAAATGGTGCAAGAGGCTCCTTTTTAGCTGGGAGCCCGGCATCAGTGTTCTGTTCTGATTATTGAGGACAGATTCCAGAAACTGGGCAAGGAGCTGGCAGAGCTGGAGTTCTACTGTGAAAATTACAGCTTCTCACCAGAATCCTTGTCAAGACACCTTCTACCCTGTCTCCACACAGAGACTATTCGGTATTTCCACACAACACCATTGCGGTCAGCAGAGGCTCCCAACCTGACCTACAGCAACATGGCAGAGACGGAAGAGAAGGTTCTCGCCGGAAACAGAGTGGGTGGTACCAGCTACATCACCTGGGCCTTGGCAATGCTGCTCTGGAGGACACGTTATCTCTGAACCATGGAAGGAAGTGAGACCTGCATGCTGTCTGATAACATCTGCGTACGTGCTGGAGAATGTCAGCCAGCAGCTGTGAGAATGCACCTTGCAGACCTCCAAGTCACTGTCCGGCTGCTGTGCTCTGAAATTCATCACCACATTTCGCTGTTGCAATAACTGAACATGACAGGGTCCCTGTGACAGGCTGGGTCCTGGGACCCGCAGGCCTCCTCTGAAGCGGACACTGTCAACCCTCTTCCCCCGCAGCAGCCTTGCCAGGCCTTCCTTAGATCGCTGGTCTGGGACGTTTCCACCCAACCACCCATCCTCGCGCCTTCGCTGGGGCTCAGGCTTGCATTGCGGGGCCCCAGACTTCACCTCTCCCATTTTCTCTCACACGGGCGCTTCCCCTGATCACTCTGTGCATGTTTAGTTCCATCTTGACCTCTGCGTCTTGGAAAACCTGAGCTAACATCAACAGCAATTTCTGTTTTTATCTTAGCTGACACTTCACCTTTCGGACAACAGATGAAAATTGATATCCCAAATGTTTCTCCTCAGCCCAAGAAAACCCTCCTCCATTTCAAAGTCCAGACAATACTGACTCTACCCTCCCTCAGTGAGGGCTTCCATGGTGACAAAGCACACACAGAATAAAAGAAGGCAAGAGCATTTGTCTTCACACATGTCAAATGGCAAAACAGGACTTCCATTCTTTTAACTATTCATCTGCTGAAGCTCTACCCCAAATCCCTTCTAGCCCTTTCTCTGATATGAGGTACAAAGTCTCTCTGTGTCTCCCTTTTGGGACAAGATGCATCATTTTCTTCTAATAGCAACCTCTTTTGGTAACTGGAAATGCGTTGGGCTTTTCCTCCAACAGACCAGGAAGGTCAAGAGATAATTCTAGAGACGTCTTTGGGGTTCCTAACTGAGGAACTCATGCAGACACTTCAAATATAAGGACCCTCTCAGGATTGAGTAGTGGCTCCAAACAGGGGCCACAACCGGCTATTTGATCCTACTCCTCACCACCCAATTACAGCTTCCTCACACTATTAGTCAGCAAACTAAGTCATGGGCACAATTACGTTCCCTCACTGGCTTCATTGTGAGGCAGGATAGTAAGGAGACAGGAAACTTCCTCGGTGAGTGGAATGGAGGAATTGAGACAGATGGCTGATTCAAACTGGCCTCATCCAGCACCCTGATTCTCTGCCTTCTTCTCTCTCGCATACCCACTCCCCTAAACACTCAGCCCTCAGAACAACGAGGTTCTGACCCGCATCAAATAATCTTAGGAACAAAGCCTCGGGTCTGTTGACCCCAGAGACAGAGTTTAGGTTAAACCAGAGATAACATCTAGGTCTCAGTTGTGTTCCAGCTCCAGGCCCAGAAAAGCAGCAAAACCGGATGAAGCCATGCCATGGCTGACATCAGCACCAGATGCAATGACTAATGACCCCCTGCATTAGCACTGACCAATCACAACCCTGAAAGGACACACCTGGAAAGCTGACGAATAGTCTATTGAGATCCTTCCCTGAGACCTCCCCCAAAATTCCTGCATAGAGAAAACAGATAAAAACCCTTAAGACAAAGGACCCAGCATGCATAAGTGTGCACTCTCTCTCGAGAGCATTCCCTGGGCTCCCCCTGCCTCCTCTTTCCTAAGGGGTGTATCTTTGCTTTCTTTCTCCAAAGGCCCTTCTTTTGCCTCAGTAATTTGCTTCCTGAGCCCACCCAACCCAGCGGGCTCACGTCTGCCTCTGTGACTTTCTTTCTAAAGGGCCAACGCGGCCACACTCAGGCTCCACTATCCCTCACATTTCAGAGGGCCAAGGCAGCTCCGCCTAGGTTCACTCCTGTTGCTATGATCTTGTCTCTTGTATTTTAAGCCCTTCCTTTGTTTCACTGTCCCCACCTTTGGTAAACCTACTTTCAAAATCGCCTGGACTTGTGTTGTGAAATTTTTCCTGCACAAAGTCAAGAACCGAGAGGCCGAATTGCCAGTAATAACTGTCCTATTAACGCCGACTAGCAGCTACATTCCCCAGCACTTTCCTTTTAATGTATACAAGTGAAACCTACAACTTCATATGCCAGATAGTTTTGGATTTCTACTTTCTTGGAAGCATGACAATTTGGTTTGTTTCCTATGACTTTCAGTGGCCCTGTGGAGCTCAGAGTACCTCTTCCCAGACACCCATGTCAACGTACCTCCGGTCCGTGGGGTACATCTCCACAGTGACCACATCCAGAGAGTTCCAGGCCGAGATGGTCAATCCGTTGTACAGACACAGCATACCTATCATCATGGATTCGCTGGTGCCAAACCAGAGAAAGAAACAGCTAATCCCCGAAAGCACCATAGAGCCACCTGTCAATGAAGCAGACAGAAGGCTGGGATGTTTCCCCTCATCTTGGTAGAGCAAAGGAAGACCCTTGAGTCTTCAAGGTCTCACAGCGACACAGATCCCACGGGGAAGCTGCAGACTGGGTTTGGCAAAGCTCAGGTGCGGGTTTGCTCACCTGGATGAAAGGTTTGTCCCTCTAACTGCCTTCTGAACACAGCAAGCATGAAACGCACATCATCAATTATTCAGCTACTTAAGTGGAAAAGTATACACTAGTCACACATAATTAGTTTTCTCGGCTGTGAACTCATGGAAGCTGCTCAAATGAAATGCAATTAGACATAATTTTCACTAAGATGGTGTCTTAATGAAAGGTCTGAAGGGATTTCTCTCACCTCTGTGGGATGCAAATCCCCAAGGGGGCAGAGGGCACGTGGGAAGTGGGCTCCCTCCAGATGGCAGGGCAGCTCCTTTATTTTACAGGACACAACGCACTTACCCAGCATGGTCAAGCGCCCGATTCTGTCCATCAGGAGAGCAGACACGATGTTCCCTGGTAACACCGCCAATGTTCCCAGGAAGTTGACAAAATAAATCCAGTAGGCACTGTAGTCATCATCAAAGGTAATCTGGCATCCCGTTTTATTGTGAAAAAAGGAGCAGTTTTGAAATTCACTGTCAATGAATTTGTACTCCTCGAAATCTGTGGACATAAGGAAAGATAATTCATCAAGCTCTTAATAGTTATACACCAGGATAAGAAAGCCTATGGAGAATACGGAAAGGAATCACGATACTCTACTCTCCTTGAGAGCTTCAAGGCCGGGGCTGGTTTGACTTTTAGTATCTTTGCCTTGACAAAGTGCAAGGTCTAGGACTTTACATTACAAAGCATGGTTGGCCCTCCATGTACACGGATTCCACGTCTGTGGATTGGGGAAAAAAATGTTGTTGCTGATGTGTACTGTATTGCAAGGCCCATGATGGATGCATCTGTACTGAACATGTACAGACGTTTTGCCTTATTGTCATTCCCTAATAATAGAGTATAACACCTATTTATATAGTATTTATGTTATATTAGATGTTATCGGTAATCTAGAGATGATTAAAGTGTACAGAGGATGTGCAGAGGTTATGCGAATACTACAGTATTTTATATCAGGGGCTTGAGCATTCATGGGATTGGTATCCATGGGTGTCCTGGAACCCATCCCCTGGTGCTGAGGCACAGCTGCAGAATGAAGGAATACCTGGGTTGAAAAAGGAATAAGCTAAGTTAAAGAATCCAGTTACCCTCCGATTTCTTTTGATTCGCCATTGCTAATTTCGTTACCTGTTTACTCCTTTATGATGTTAGCTTGTTCTAATTATCATGTTATAGAAGGACTATCATTATAGGGCTAATAGTTTCCATACAACAATTACCAAAAACAATTTGTTTCAAAATATGTATGAATCAGCCATATGCTTGCCATCTCTGCTGACTGTAGTTCAGACATGCTGACTTAAAGAAACACCAGATTTAGAAGCCAAGATTATCAAAACAAATAAACTACAGGTTAATGCTTTGCTTTAAAAATCATGCACCAAACCATTTATTTTTTAACTTTGATCTTCTGCAAGTCCCATTTGCATTACATCTGACCAAAACAAACAATACACGCGTAACTTTGATCCGACCTGATTTAGGGAATCTGTTAATTTATACTTTAATCTCCATTTCCCCCTTAAGTCTCTGCCCACACTGTGACATGCGTATCCCATTTCCGCCCAGCGCCAGGCCCTCTGAGGAGGCCTCAGCAGGACTAAGTAGCACACCTACCTGTGTGGTCAAAAACAGTGTCAATAAATGTGCAGTTCTTGAAGTAGGTGTTGACTGAAGTCACATCCTCAAAAGTGCAGGCCTTAAAAAGCGAATCCTTGAAAGTTACAGATTTGAACTTGACCCCTAGGAATCTGCTCAACACACACAAAAAATTCATATCAATGATTGTCCACCAGGGTTTAAAGGTAAGTCAAACAGGTTTAGTGATGGGCTGCCCCTCTGTGGACACTCTTAATTACAAAGGACATTGGTTTCTGGGTTTTCTAATCTCTTAGCTTTCCCCCCTTTTCCTCATCCAGCCTGTTCTTTGGCTATCCATTGCTTGCCAAGATTATTTCCTATCCGAAGAAGAGGTGGCATTCAAGATAACTTCACTTAGCTTTTTGCAATGTTGGTAAAAGATTTTTTGTGGGGTAGGCAGTTGCAGGTAGAAATATTGGAGATTACTTGTGACTATTAATTCTTTATTTTTCAATCCTATCTTCTTGTTCCTTCCCATATGCCTTTATTTGAAAATTCTCTATTTGGGGTTCATGGCTCTAACTGGAGGATGTGCTCCCAAACACACTTTTAAAGCGAGCCTGTTCCCCAAGCCCAAAACCCAAGGTTTCTTCATTCCAGTGTAGGGATTATCCTGAAGAAAGGACATGAGGAGTGACTGACTCAGGGGTCAAGAAACTCATAGCCACACTCACTCCAAGAATACTTCTCTTCTCAGAGCCAGCAGTTATTCCTTGAACCAAATGGAATGATGAGAGCTCTGCTTATTTTTGTAAATGTGTAGAATGATGAAATCTGTTCATACACACTTTTGGGTGCTGAAGGGGAAACTCTAGGTAGTAAAAATGATAACAGTCATAATTATCCTAACATTGTAGAAGAATCTATGACTCAGATCTGTGTTGATAAGGATCTCAGGAGACATGAATAAATGTTCAACAGTGTCTCAGTAATTTATTAAGAGAGCATGAATATATACTTATACAGTCACCGGGAGGAAAATGCTTATTCAACCACGGAAGAAGTTTTGATATCAAATGCCACTCCTATTAGGGTCAGAAAGGGACTGATCCTAGAGCAATTCACTAATTATTGGGTAATACTTTCAAAACTGTTCTCACTCTAAGGATTGACTGTGCATTGTGGTGTAATAGAACAACCGGCTTAAAAAACAATCTTATGTCAATCCCCTGCTCTAGGGGTCCAGAGAAAAACCATCTAAACGGTAAATTTACCCACTTAAAGGAGGGTAAATAATGGGACATTTTAAGATTATCAATTTTTCTGAAATGGAACTGAATTTAGAAAGGGCAAACAATTTTTTGAATGGGCAGTATATACACAGAGTACACCTGGTACAAAATCAAAAATTTAAAAGGGAAAAAGTGAGTTTTTTCTGACCTCTTCTCAGACCACCCTGTTCTTTTGTGTTAGTTTTTTGGGTGCTCTCCGGGAGCATTCTTTATGAAAAGTGCTAGCAAATGAGACACGTTATTCTATAACTTGCTCTGTCTCCTGGTAGTCTACCTTGGACTCCATATCAGTGCAGAAAGAGGTGCCATTTATATGCTGAACAGGAAAGCTATTTTTTAAAAAATGAGTTAGCTAGTGGTATTTCAAATTTCCTTGAAAAAAAAAATTCTACCACTTTCTAAAATAAATATATATTTTATAAGGATTTCAGTACTATTAAAACTATTAATTATTATATTGCTAATGTAAAATATTTCTTAGTCATGATTGAATACCCATCTTAAAATTTTAACAAATATTATTTAAAATATGACTGTCAGAAATACAAACATGCTAGAAATTTCTAATGGAGTAACAGAATTTTTTTTTTATCCTCAGTGAAGAAAGAGGAAAAGACAGAGGGAAATATTGATGTGAGAGAAACACATTGATTGGTTGACTCCTGCATGAGCCCCGACCAGGGCCCAGGCTGGGGAGGAGCCTGCAACCAAGGTGAGTGCCCTTGACTGGAATCGAACCTAGAAGATTTCTTCTCTGAATTAAATAACCCAGCTAGGGCAAGTAAGAGTATTTTTTTTTTTTTAAATAAACAAAGTAAATTTCAATCTAGAATTACAGAGAACCAAGTGCAGCTCTGAGTTGGGGTGTCCTATGGGAGAGTGCAGGTGGTTCTATGTGGCTGGGATTAGGATTAGGCCCCTCCTTGAATTGTCAGTTCAAACAATTATCTCCTGCTGGCAATTCTCCTTTTCATTACAAACCATAAACATCCCACAAATTCTTTTTCATCTTTCCAAATTGGTTTTTTGCCCTGGGAAACTTTGATTATTTTAGCTTTTTACTTTTAACATTTTTGAAATTAGGACAATTTCCTAAGAATGATGTAAACCACTGGAACTCATAGCAACGATTATTTGCTCAGACAACAAATAATGGATGTAAATAATGACCTTGTCCATTCTTTGCTTTCCTGAAAGAATGAACCAGAATCTTTTTGAGCCAGTTCTCTGTGCTCATCAAGAGCCATTCCAGGTTCTAGTCTCAAAAATACCCTTTGCTAACGTATTCTGTATTTCCAAAGCCCCAACTGTGGAGAATCATTCCTGTATTTGAAACTCTAATTGAAACTCTCAATGTAACCTCAATTTTTGATTCAGCATCATGGAGAAAGAAGGAATTCTGAAAAATGGTCCCCTTTTTCAGGAATTGGAGACAGGCAACAAATTACACTTCAGATTTCTTCTCTGAATTAAATAACCTTATAACCCATTTTATTTTATCATACTCCTCATTCTTTTCTTCTGTGACTTATTTTTTTCATTTTTCTCCAGGGTCTCTCTAAACTTTCATTTCATAACAGTCAATCCCACTACTTAATAAATGCAAAGCAACTCAGTTTCAGAAGTAGTTTTAAGTGAAGTAACAGATCCCTTTTCTTTAACGCCCATTTGGAAGTATTCATATTCAGCCAGAAATGACTAAATGTACAAATTAAAAAACAAAACTAAAATACTATACATATTTCAGTGCAGTGAAGGCTAGTAAGAAATAAGTTTTTGTGAACAGATAGCATACTAAATTATTTCAAAGTTTCTGGACCTGCCATTGTAGTATTCCATTCCAGTATGAATCTGATTTTCCATGGTAAAGTTAATACTGAAATTGGCATATTTCTCTCTCGGCACATTTCTAGTTCGTAATGCATATTCATCCGATTGCAGATGTTTAATGACATCAGGGAACCAAACAGATAATCCATAGTACCTGCAAAGACAAAGAAGTGCGAGTTTGTAAAGGTGCCAGCAACGAGAGGCGATGCATGCCTGCCTCCCTGACATGCTCAGAGAGGTATCGGTTCCCGGAGAGGTGCTCTGATGATGACCGGCTCCCTGAAACATTATGAATCATCACGCTGTCATCTGCGCTGCTCTCTCCCCACCACAATTAAGTCTGCAAAAATCAACCTAGACATATGGCCTAGGGTTCCCTGGGGAACCCCAGGTACATAATTCCTGAAGCCGGTGCTTTGGGAGGTGACATTGTATAAGAATCCCACCCTGTACCCATACGTGGCATGCTGGTCCTGAAGTTTTCTCATCACCCCAGGCTGCACCGAGGAGCCCCATCACCTAGTCTGCCACACGCCTGGTATCCAAAAACCATGAGAGCCCTTAAAGAATGACCTCTTTTATGAGGGCAGAATCTTTTTTTGGTTCCCACACTACTCTTTCACTGCTGGCCTGCGGGTACAGCCCCATTTCTCAAAGCAGTTCAAGGCTAGGAAAAGGACCGTGCAGGCGATTATCTGAAAATCCAGGTTATTTCCAGTTTCTGCCTGTTGGCCTCACATGTGTCATTCCAACGGGTAAATACTGTGCTCTTCAATACAGCAACCACTCGCCATGTGTGGCTACCGAGCAGCTGACATGTGGCTAGCCCAAATTGAGATGTGCTGTATGTATAAAATATCACATTGAACGACTAACAAAAAAGAATGTAAAATAAGTCTTTAGAATCATGGTTATATTGACTATATGTTGAAAGGACAACATTTTAGACATAATGAGTCAAATAAAATATAACATTAAAATTAATTTCACCTGTTTCCTTTTACCTTTTTTTATAGCGTGGCTGCCAGAAAATTTAAAATGACACGTGTGGCTCCCATTATGTTTCTACTGAACAACAATCCTCTGAAATAGTGGTTCCCAAAGTGGGGTCCTGGGCCAGCAGCATCAGCGTTACCTGGGAACTTGTTAGAAATGCAAACTCTCAGGCCCCATCCACACCTGCTGAATCAGGAACTCAGGGGATGGAGTCCTCCAGGTAATTTTTCTGATGCACACTACACTTTGAGAATCATTGCTCTAGTTTATCCTGTTGCAGGTAGACATGCTAGGTTCGAATCCTGGCCTTGCCAGCTGTGTGATCTTCAGCCCGTTCTCTAAGCCTCAGGTACCTCATCTCTCATGTCAGACTGATGATAGCACCCACCTTCCTGGGTGGTTGCTTGGATGAAATGGGATGCAAAGTACCCAGCACACAGGGAGTGCTCGGAAGACAGTGTGTGTAGTTTTATGATCATTGTCTTCAGGAATCTGGAAACATCACTGGCTCAGGATCCCAGATTCCAACCCCTTCTCTTCATAAATCATGAATGAAATTACTGTGAGGGTATGAGTGGTGGCCACTGAATAAGAAATAACTCAGAGATGCACCATCCATAGCACTGCTCTCTAGTCATATACACAGGACAAAAAACTTTAAAAATAGCAACCGCGAGGAAGCATGCTACCCTGGGGTGTCTGTAATCAATGACATGGAGGAGTTTTAGCTCAGTTTTCATTTATTTGGCAAACATTTACTGAATATCCACTAAATGCTACTCACTATTTGAGGTTATGGGGACATCAGCAAGAAAATCATAAAGCTTAAGATGTGGTCAATAATAAATTGTTAAACAAAATAAACAAACCAGATAATTATTATCATGTAACTCTTCACATCTTGAGAGTAGAACTGTTGTCTCACTGAACACCTCGCTTAGTGTTTAGCACACAGCAAGCACTGAATACATGCTAATGTTCATCCTTCATAGATTAGTAGTTATCCTAGAACTTGGGTGGGGGTTACCTTATATATTCTAAATCAATCCTCTCAACTTAGAAATGAGGAATAAAAACTCAGTAATGCCCTAAGTCACATGCAGAACAAGATGCTAGGTGTCCTGACCGTCACTTTTCTTGTTTGTCCCTTTATTACAACTCAGAGCACTGGGAAAGATCAGTCATGTCTGGTCACTTGCCTGTTTTTATTTAGGGATGTTAAGACATGGAACTTAAAGCAGGAATGTGGGGCTCCACCAGACACGAAGATCCTATTGACCTGAAAGTGTAGTATACTTTTCTTGCATGTTCAAGGAAGAGCAAAGAGGCTGCTGTGGCTGGGGCCAACCACAAGAGGAGAGGAGGGAGGAGAAGTCATGGGGGACAAATCACCCAGGGTTTTATTGGGCTTTCCAAATATTACTGGTTTTGCCAGCACAGCTTTATGACAAGATAAGTGAAATGACTGGATTATAAAATCATAACTGTTAGCAAATCTAATCTGGATAAAATTCTTTCCTAAATGTTAACAGCATCAAACAGCGTAAGAAAAGAAAGCAGCATGACTAGGAATTACAGTGTGGACATATAAAGATTTCACTTACCAAGAATTTAAATATCACTTACCCAAAGGACAGGGTGAACCAAACGATTGTAAGCTTTATTGTATTTTCCCTAACTGGGTAGTGGAAACATCTCATAAAAGTCATCCAAATCTGTAAAATATTAGAGAGTTAGTTTAGTTATACAGTTATCTAGTCAACCCCACACCCCACTCCCTCCAACAAATTATTAAAAAATTGAGTTTTCTTTGCACTGGATTCATTTGACCTTAAAATGTAAAAGCTAGAGGCTAGAGAAAACCAAATACTGGAAATTTCATTTACCAGCTTCCTGAGGTCAATGGGCAAAGTAACTGAAGCCTACCCAGATCTACCAAGACTCCACCGAACACCTTCCTTTCCCAAAGATGAAGCATCTTAGTTTCCCCGATGATCCCAACGGGATCCTATTATCTGGTCCCAGTCCAGAAGTCAGGTGTCTGAAGTGGTGAGAAACCCATTCATGAAACTGGTCAGTCAACCCTGCTTCTGACTAACCTCAAATGCAACAATTGACCAATAGACTATTGACTATTGGCCAACAATTCAGAAGGGCTTGTTACTTACTCCATACAGTTCTGTGTGGATCCGAACGAAACACCTCCTGTACCATGTTCCTGTGTCACTCTCAATTTCAATCAACTCATCTATTTGTTTTGGGGTTTTGATTCTGTTTACCTGTAAAGAGCAACAGAGGGCCAAGTGCTGAGTTCTCTTTTCTGATGCTGCTCGGTTAAGGCTACCATCTGTTTTTAAAGGAGCAAAAGTTGACTCCAACAAAAGAGCAGGCATTTGATAATCACGTCATACATATATGAGACTGATGATGCAAGTGCAGAGACCCAAAGGGCACCTAAAGGAACTGAATAAAGAATGAATGGGAAGGAATACCATAGGGAAGTAGGTGAAGGGCAAGTAGTAATGGAATAGTGTGAAATTAAAATGCCTTTCTCTGAATGATTACTACAAAGGCACACATTAGCAGATAAAACATCCAGATAGGTCAGCTTCTGGATTAAGAATTATTTGCTTGGACTAAAGTGGTTGTACATACTTTTCTTTGAAACCTACTTATTTGATGAATTTGGCCCCTAACCATAGTTCTGAAAGCTTTCCCATCAAACTTTTATCCTTGGAGCATCACTATTGCCCTCTCTTCCTTCTCCCACAGCCTAATTAGCTCACAGTGACTGGTCAGCAAGTATCTACAGGTGACCATAGTGCAAGGTCAAGTGAATGAGCTTCAATGGCAAGCATCAACACTGAAGGGGAATGAATGATGGAGGGTTGGCACGAAAAGCTGTATCTATGACTTAAGTTAGCCTCTTTTTGCTAAGGAAAAGAACCAAGAGTCAAAAGAAGTAATGCTTTCAAAACCGAGAATGAAGCCTGAAAAGAGAGAGAGAAAGAAAAAGAGGAATAATGGATCCTTTATGGATCTGTCCTTTCTTATCCTATGAATAACTATTTACTTGCTTTCGATAAATCTGAGAGGCACAGAAATGTACACACGTTACCCCTGCCAGGGATAAATTTTGAATATATATATATTTTTTGGAGATTCTTCCAATATCCAAAGCAGCACTTCTATTGTGAAAATCCAGGTACCGTGGTTGTTTTTTGATGGAGGTGCTCTGAGGACCCTTGTATCTTTCAAATTATACCAGGTAGGCAGTAGCCTTTTCCTGACTATGTAAACAAAGATGTCTATATTTAACACAAATAATGTCTGAGTTAAATATGGGATTCCAAATAGAGTCAAATCAAAACATGCCATGTAGACAGTATTTTGTGATGCTTTACCTAATTTTTTTTTTAATCACAGGGGTGTTCTTATCACTCAATATATTACTTTTGGGAGGCTTCCTCTTCTCCACTCATCAGTGTTTGTTTGTTCATTAATGCATTGGCACCCATAGGGTGCCAGGCCTGACAATGGACCCTGGAGATGCAAACATCAAGCAATTACCACACAAAATAAAAAGTACTCTGATGGAAGTGTATATCAGATTGGAGAGAAATATTGTAGAGAACACCCAAGTTCACCTGGGAGTGTGACAGAGAAGAGAGAAGACTTCATGGACTACAGAATTTGAGCTGGAGTTTATGGAGAAATTTTTCATTTGCCATTTGTGTAAACTATTTGGAGTCCATTCCAAGTAGGAGGAATACTATCTGCAAACATCAAGGGGTGTGATTAAAAAAAATACTGTATTAGCCTGGCCAGTGTGGGTCAGTGGTTGAGCACGACCTATGAATCAGGAGTCACAGTTCAATTCCTGGTCAGGGCACATGTCTGGGTTGCAGACTCAATCCCCAGTAGGAGGCATGAAGAAGGCAGCCAATCAATGATTCTCTCTCAGCACTGATGTTTCTATCACTCCCTCTCCCTTCCTCTCTGAAATCAATAAAAAATGTATATATTTTAAAAATACTCTATTAGACAACTACAAAGAGTTTGGCAGTCCTGAAGAATAGTCCAAGAACAAAGGGCAGTGAGTAATGAGGGATGAACCAAATCATTGGCAGTGAGGATGTAAAGTAAGGAATAACGATGAATGATATTTAGGATGGGGAGTAATAGGACAGAGTGATTTTTTTTTAATACAATGAAGGTAAAGGAAAGAAGGAAATAGAATAGTTTTCAGGGCTCCAGGTTAGGTGGTGCTGGTGGTACTTGCTGATAGAATTTAGGACAAGGAAGAGGCTTGGAGACTCTTAAGGTGGAAAGTTAAGATTTAGAAATTCAGATCTTAAAGGGCCTATAGCTCATAGACTCATGGCCACAAAGCCCTTCAGCATGCATATCTGGAGCTCAGGAGATTTGTCCATTAGGCAATAGAGATGCAGAAGTAGATGAGAACAGCTAAGGAGAGTATCTAGACTTAAAGGAAAAATTAGCTGAAATTAGCCCTGTAAAACAGTATTTAAGGTATGGGCATAGGAGAAAGAGCGTAAGCAGGAGACCTGGAAGGAACCCATGTATATTCACTGTGCGGTGGACACTCGTATAACAAGGAACAAGGCAGATTTGTCATGGTAGAATCATGTCATGATTTTGAAAGTCAATATAAATGATTTTGAGATTATCCATTCTTTTGGATCATTTCCACATTATTCCCCTTTTACATAATAATATTACCATGAATGGTCATGGCTGGACTTGGCAACTCCAACTACTGGAAGAAAAGCAGGTAAGCAGGACAATGAGTCCCTACAAAGACACTTTCTCAGGAGTCTTTGGTAAACGGTTTACCCTCATCGGGCTGAAAGGATTGAGTGATACCCAGTGTCTAGCTAATGTCTTGAGAATCCTCCAGCTTCATGTTCCTTTAATTTAAAAACAGCTTTCCTCTATTGTGCGTCTCCTCAAAAGAATGTCCTACTCAAAGCTTCCAGGCCCTCCATTACTGACCTTACTTTCTCCATTACACTGCATAAAAATTTTGCTAATGAAGAATCTATAATAATTTGGACAGATGACATACTGAAGTCTATCTTTACATTATGAAAATATATTTCCTAAATAAAAATAAAGTAAGTTAGATGCGAGGGGACTGTTTAATTAGGGACTATTTCACTTTTAAGAACTATAATTCCTATCATTTATGACACTTAAGATCTTACTTTTGTTCCACTTCTGTCTTTATGTATTAAACCCATTTTAGACAAAACATTTTTCATCAAACTATATGCTGCATATAAAAAAAGATTTTAAAACCATGTTCCTTCTAAAGAATTCTGTGCACCCAATTTTCGTTAAGTTAGACTGGTTTCCCCATTGAGAATAAACTTTGTAACAAGAGAATCAAAGAACGTTCATGCAGAGGGAGCAGCACATACAGCAGCAGTGTGGCAGGCTTAGGTAAAAGGGGTAAGGAAAGGAAAAGAGGAAAGGAAGGTATAGCGAGAGAGGAATTTACAATCGGGCCTTTCCAGAAACAGTTTCCCACCCCTGGCATAGATGATTCTCTGAGGAGCAGTACTCACCGTGAAGACCTTCTCGGGCTGACCCCGTGCCCTCATGTTTGTGTCATGAATTAACTTCAGAATCATCCAAGCTTCATCATGTTTTCCAACCTAGCAAATGTGAGTAGACAGTGAAGTGCTAGAGGTGAAACACACTCCCTGATTTTCCAATAACCATCTTCAATTGCCAAATAAAATTTGGTGCCATTGTGAAAATGCATTTAGGTGTGTCCCATTGGAACATACAGACTACTTGGATATCCTTGAATACCTTAGCCGTTCAATGGATGTGCCTATAACTAGAAATAGTGCCTTTGGATGGTAGAATTTCATTTATAGAACAATAGCCATGTTCTCTTCATTGAGCAAAGAGTAAATTGCTTGAGGAGGAACATGAGTGCTTTCTGGTCACGAGGCAGCTTGTTCACATGCTGGTTGTTGGAAGCATGTCCCCATCACACCAAACCCTCCACATAAGGAAGGAAAAAATACCTCCCAAAGAGGCAGGCATGCTGTTCTAGAATTAACAAGCTACTGTCTCCAATGTATGTGGCTTCCTTGAGTATCAGTAATAACAAATGTTACCTCCAACAAGAACCGGGGGCTTTCAGGCATGAATGTGAGGGCCACCACCGAGCAGACACAGGGGAGGGCGCAGACAATCACGAACACACGCCAACTGTGAAACTGGTAGGCCGACCCCATGCTGAAGCTCCATCCTGGAAAAGGAGGAGGGGAGGGTGAGGGAGAGTGCCCCTCAGACCGCCTGCTGAGAAACGGGGACTCCACAGTCACTGTGGAGTCTACACCTCAAGTTCATTCGTCAGACCTTTGGACCCACAGAAGAATGAGCTGACCTGGGCTGACCAGCTCAATACCACCAACCTCATTACCACCAACAGCACCACCCGTGGCAACACGACTGCCAATAGCAGTGCTGAGAAGAAAGATGCTTGGGACCAAAGGGGTCAGGGCCTAAGTATGTTTACGAACAACCAAATTTTGAAGGCCAAGAAAAATTAACTTGGGATAATATTTTCCCCAATAGACTACTCTGCTGGGTATCTTCTGTTTGCTCCTGCAGATCACTCTCCACTCTCCACTGAGCGTGTGCCAGGAAACAGATGTCTGTGGACTGCATCAACTGGCTCCCATGTCCTCCTCTTCCATTTGGGTTTGAAAAGAGGAAGGAGAACAGGGAGTGGGAGTGGGGCTCAGGATATTTATTTCCCTTGCTTCCCTTCTCCCATCTCCCTGGCTGGGTGGAGGTTTGACCCTGGGTATGCCCATCCCCTGGAACCTTCTGTAGCCACACCTCTTGTCAGGTTCTGGCAACCCCTCCCTCCTCTTGCCCTGTGAGACACAGGTGGGTAGAGGATGCCCTTCCGCTACCAGCTCCCAGGTGCTTATTACTCCTTCTTGGTTTCTCTTTACCGTTCCCACATCACTCTTTTCAAATGGCCCCCATGAGAGCATCATCACTGCCTGCCGGCACCCTGACCAGTGCAATTATTAAGAATTGCCAGTTGCGGTATCTCTCTCCACATGCACATGTCATCCAATAGATCAAGAGAATTTTAAATTCCCAAACAGCATTTTTATTATAATAGGAACAAGCTGAATGGGATACAAATAGAAATCTCTTCGTGGACTAAAAGAAAGACAGTCTTATATTTAAATGAATATAAAATGGTTTAAAGCAAAATTCAAACATGATTCTAAATGAGAAATAATGAGGCATATCAAAACCAATTGAAAAAAGAGGAAATTTATAGAGGCATAGATGAATTATGGGAGGCAAAAATTTAATTTTGGGCAATGCTTGGTATTATAAGGCTTTTTTGTGAACAAAGTCATAGTCTACACCACACCCCAGGAAAGCAGTATAATTAATCGCTGTTTACATAGGAGCCAGCGAGATTCTGGGCTGATGTAACTTCAAGGCCACAAAGCTGAAGTTACATATCAGAAGCTTCCCCACCCGGATTTGAGGCAGAATCTTACAGCACACATGGCCTCCTTTCTGTGCACACTTGCTCTTAAACACAGACTCTGTTGACAAATGATGGAAACCCGCTCTATCAATCTTAGATTAATCAACATTTTCTGGGAACTTAATATATGAGGATGATGCGAATTGCTAAATTAACTACATCGTAAACTTTAGGAAGGGATATCTATTCTCAATGTTTTATGCAGCAGAAGTTCGTCTCCAATATCTAAAAGGCAGAAGAAATTCTATGATGAAACAGAAAACATACCTTGTTCAAATTTGATCTGAGAGGGTCATAGAATTTCTTTGTAAAAAGCTCCTAATGCTATTATTTTACACATTAGATGAAAAATAAAAGCCTTAGATGGCTGATTGAGGCAAAATGCAGGGTTTTAATTTCAGGCTACAGCCCAGTACACGGAGAAAGAGCAAAGACAAGAGAGGGAAAGGTCTCTGGTGCCTCTGCTAAAATAAATTAGCTGTGAAGATGCAGTTTTATAAACAAAAATGGGAGGGTTTTGGTTTGTTTTTTTAAATGAAGTTATTTAACTAAGGAGAAAGTCCCACCAATAAATAGCAGAAAACTCCTTGTGTTAGACAGAACAATGCTCCTTCTCTGGCAAAGATGTCCTCACCCTCATGCTCTAAACCTTCCATGGCAAAGGGATTCTGCAGGCCTGATTAAGTGTAGGATCTTGAGATAAAGTGATTACCCCATATTATATGGCTAGGCCCAACATAAGTACCAGAGTCCTTAGGAGGGAAAGAGAGAGGCAGGATAGTCAGAGTGAGAGCAGATGTAAAAAGGGGAGCTGAGGTCAGACAGGGGTGAGATTTGAGGATGCTACAGCACTGGCTTTGAAGCTGGAGGAAGAGGCCACAAGCCAAGGAATGTAGGAGGCTTGTAGAAGCTGGAAAAGGCAAGAACACATATTCTCCCCTCAAGCCTCCAGTAGCCCTGTCAACCCATTTAAACCTCTGACCTCCAGAATGGTAAGGTAATAAATTGTGTTGTTTAAAACCAATCAATTTGTGGTGATTTGTTACAGCAGCAATAGGAATGCAACACACCTCTCTTTGTAGGTATAGATCTATCGCTAATCTGATTGATATAAGTTTACTTGAAATTATATTCTCTATAAAACCTCAGGCCCTTTGATTTTGGACTTCTCCAGATGCCTCACCAAGGACTTCACGCTCCTTCCTGATAGTCTTAGAAATATTGCCCTTCGCTCTTCCTGTTCCCAAACATCACATCCGTGGGTGGAGAGACAGTTTGCAGTGTGATGCCAGGTCAGCAGTTTTCAGTCCACAGAGAAAACTAGACGACAAATAGGATCTAAACCTAGAAGAGAACCAGCTGGTCCGGAGTCCACTCTCCTCAGTTTGGGATGTAGTTTCTTCAGGTGGAGACTCCTGTTTGCTGGCTGAAAGTCAGTCCACTGGCCTCTGTGCAGATCGCTCTCACTTCCTTAGCTGTGAAGTCTGTCTCCTGGCCCCTTGCTTGGGGGCTGTGTGTACGCATGTGTGTACGTGTGCTCACAGACATGCAATGTGGTGGTTTCGCTTTGTATAAAGGGTGTATCATCCACCCATTTCTTCCCAGAGCTCCAGCATCCTATTTATATCTACACAAAGATGCCTAAGGGCATCTCGGTTACTGTGTCCACAATGGAACTTGGGATTTCTTACTCCACTACCAAACAAAATTCTTGTTTCTCTCCTAATCTTCCCTATTTCAGCAAATGATACACCCAGACATTCGTGCCCCAAACCAAGATTTCGTCCTTGATTCCTCTTTATTCTCTCTCACTACTCTCAATGTCCAATCTCTCAGCCAGTTCCAGTTTCAAGATATATCTCAAAGTTAGCATGTCTCCCAATTTCCACGGCACAGCAAAGCTTCCTGCTGGCAACACTCTGCCTCTGACCTTCAGCAGGAGCCTAACTCTCCTTTTCCTGCCTCCCTGGTCTTCCAGAGCCCACCCTCCTGACAGCAGCCAGACTCATCCTTTTAAAGTGTCAACAAGAGCACTTCACTCTGCTGCTTGAAAGCCTCCAACAGCTCCTAATAGGTCTGGAATCAATCCACCGGCCTTACTGTGGCCTCTATGGCTGACAGAAGCTGACTCTTACCTATGCATCTGAGCTCATCTCCTACGGGTCCCCTCACTCAGCCTGGGCCGGTTCCATTGACCCGCTGTCAGTTATTTGAACATAACAAAGCTTAATTCCATCCTAGTGGCTTTGCCATAGCTCCTTGGGAGCCTAGGATGCATTTAAAAAGCTGTTTGTTGTATTTTACCCCGTCTTTCTCTGAGATTTGAAGTGGGAGGGTTTTTCAGTGCATCTTGTCCTGATGTAGTCCCCTCAGGGTCTCTGCCTTTGATATTTTCCCTGCCTGGATGTCTTCACACATGGATGCCTTTTTCACACCTTCCAGGTCTCAGTTTAAGGTTATCTCCTGAGAGAGGCCCAAACCCTCAATCCCACTCTCTGTCACTAAGGCCTCTTTTATTGTCTCCCTGCCTAAAGCTGTCATATTCATTGAATTAGTTACACCTTTGCTATCTGTTCCTCTACCCACCATGAGAGCAGCTACTCTGCTTTGGTTACTCACCAATGTATCCCCAGTGCCTACAGAAGTCCTGGTCCACAGCAAATGTTCTTCAAATGTTTGTTCAATGGATCCGCTCACACTAAGCATGTGTGTACATGAACATCTGCAAAATCACTGCAGGCTAAGACAGTAGGTACTCAAGTATCCCTTTAACTCATTTTCTTTCTGAATTCATGCTAAACAGCAAAATAACCTTGATTAACTTTTTCACATTAAATTAGTAACGTATATGCAGTAAAATTATTATTATTACTTTTTGGTTATACAGTTCTATGAGTCTGATAAATGCAGAGAGTCATGTAACCATCATCATAATTGGGACAGAGACCAGTTCCATCACCACAAAACAGTCCTTCCTGCCACCCTTTTGTTGTTGTTTTTTGAGCCAAACTGTTTTATTAAAAGGTCCCTGACTGATTTCCCACCGTGTTTCCATGCCCGCCATCTTGGGAGGTGCCAGGTGGCTGGCCTGTGAGAGTAGAGGTTACTGTGTCTCCCTGCTCCCCAGCGCTGGGGTCGCAGCACGATGCTGCCCTGTCACTTAGCTCTGCTGGGTTTCCCTCCTGCTGGCCTGTCTTCCCTTCCTTTAAGTACTGTCCACCGCCCTGGGGCCATGGCTACGGTTTCCGCGAGTCGTCACCCCAAGAAAGCAGCCGCCTCTTGTGGGAGGCAGCGCCAGGTGCTGGTTGTGACAGCAGGTGAACAAGATGTGCTCCCAGGCTGGGGTCTCCTCTTTGCCTAGAATGGTGTCCTTGCCATCGATGAGCAGATCCCCCAAGATCACCGTCTTGTCCCTCATCACGATGATGCGAGCCACAAACTGGGGCCCCAGGTGCTTATCCACCCAGGAGTACTTCTCACCCACACAGTGGTCATACTTCCTCAGGGTGCAGATGAAGACCTGTGTCGTGCATGGTGTGCATCCCATGCATGGCTTCCAAGGCTCCAGGGGGTCCAAGTCTAGGAAAAAGCCTGGGCTTTCATACACACCAGCGACTTTGTCCGCCAGGTCCGGCCATGGGGCTCGGTACTGCTCGCGGGGGAAGAAGCCGCAGCGCTCCTCCAGCGGCAGGTGCGGCTCCTCGGGGAAGCGGCTGTGGAAGGCC